AAAGATATGGCTGAAATAGTATGACAGTGTTAGTTTTGGATAGAGTTTGACATTTTATTCATATCTTTTCTGTTATAGATCGGAATTAACATTATAATATATCATTGGAAAGATAATTTCAAGTGCTATCCAACCATATAAAATTTTGATAAAAAATATGAGGCACGAAAATAATGTCTGTCTATCTTTGAACGTCTTTCAATTCGGATAGAAATAGGACTTTCAAAAAGAAATTTTTTTATTCAATTTCAAATTCTTTAATCTTATCTTTTTAAAAAGGATAACTAAGATATTTAAGAAACTTATAGAAGCTTCCAATTAATCCATATTGGTTTAGGAATGAGATTAAATAATTTGGACCCTCCACATGATCATTGGGTCGTAGGTAAGGTGGGCTTAGGTTCTGTTTGGGCTCAATTTAATATTTCGGTCATAACTTATTCGTTATAACTTGAATTTAGGCTTTTAATATATCGTTGGAAAGGTCTTTTAAAGCCCCATCCAATTATTAAATCATTAGACCCAGATTATGGACCAAAATAAACTGGATTAAACGTTTTTATAAAAAAGACACAAAATGAATGATTTTAAAAGACACGAAATGAATTATTTTAGGTTTAAAGGCACGAAAAGAGGAAAATAAGTGATGGTTTAGGGAAATGATCTAGGAAATGGGATAGGAGTTGGGTTGGTTTTATGAAATGGAAATATGGATTTAAGCACTCAAAGATTAAATACTCAACCCGACCAATAATGGAGGTGAAAGGTTGTTCATCATCGGGTTTGGTTTTGGGGAGACATTTTTAGGTGTCTACGGGAAGCTAATCGCACAGTAGATTGGCTTGCTAATTATGGCGTGGAGTTGGATTAGAAGATGGTCCTTTTTGAGGCTATTCCTAGGGATCTTTGGGCTGTTTTATTGGAGGGCCTTAGTGGTGTGGCGTGGGCGAGGAAGGTACCGGAGGATGCTGCAATTTGAAGGCTTCTATACCCTTACTAGTTTGATGCCTTTGATTTTAAGCTTTTTTTCTTTTAGTTCTAGTTTCTATTTTTCTGTTTTTTTTTCCCTTTTATTTTGTATTTTGTTCTCGGGGTTTTTCCCCTCTTTTGCACAAAAAAAAAAAAAAAAAGAATTGGTGATTAGTTACAAATATAATCATTACTTTTGTAAGCTAGCCAAATAAATTAGATTTAAGATTAAATATTATCTGATTCTTAGACAAATTAGGATTAAGATTCCAATTCCTACTTTTCTATCTTATTTTATTCTAGGATTATGATTCTTAGTTTTATATCACGGTAATATAATGCATGTCAATAAAGTTTTGTGTGTGCGTTTGAGATTAATTAAGGTGTTGCCTTTTGGTTTGTTTGACCATTAACACTCGCAGTTAGGAGGTTTTCTATCCTTAGTTTTTCCAGAATAATTTACATCAAGTGTAAGGAATGACACGTGTCATTTAAAAAAAAAGAATGAAGTAAGAAGTATAATAACTTTAGGGATGATAATAAAATATATATCTAAACTAATCTATTAAAAGACATTCCTAAGGACGTTGATGTGCCACGTAGTCCATTTCCAGTTGCGCCACATCTATACTAATCTATTAAAAGACATTCCTAAGGACGTCGATGTGCCACGTAGTAGTCCCTTTTTAGTTGCGCCACATCATCTTCTCAACATCTTTTGACGCCACATCACCCAACATTACTCCATATAAAAACACAAGAATAAAGAAGTTGGAACCCTCAACCTCTTATACCAAATATGACCATTTTATCATGTCAATTATCAACGATATTATTAATATGTAAAAAAAAAAAAAGTACAAACCACAAGGTTCAATTTAAAAAAAAAAAAAAAAAAAAAAAAGCTTAACTCAATTTTGGTTTGCCAATGACAATTGCAGTTTTGCAAAGTCTTAAAAAAAATTTATCGTGTGTATGTCTACAACAATATATATTAAAAAGCTTTTTCAGTCAAGGATACACGCCATTGCTCTGGGCTACTCACTATAATATATATTTAAAAAGCTTTTTCAGTCAAGGATACACGTCACGTGTCACCCCTTTCTTCCACCAAAAGGATGCCACATCACCTTATAAGAAATGTGAACGGTTCACATCAATTAAAAACTATTTATATCAAGGATTGAACTTGGGTCCATAGGAAATGAAAAAAATCATGTCATCTTTGCTAACTAATAATTTTGCATATTTATTCGTCTTTAATACAATTAATGTAGACCATTAAAGTGTTTTTCTTTATACTTTTACGGGTCTGTTCACATTTACTGAACTGAACTGATTGGAGCTGAACTGAACTGATTGGATCTTAGCTGAATTGAACTTAACTGAATTAAGCTGAAATGAATATTTTATGAGAGAGAGAAATTAGGAGCTGAACTGAACTGAATTGAACTGAGCTGATTGGAGCTGAATTGAACTAAACTGATCAGAGCTAAGCTGAACTGAACTGAAATTAAGTAAATGTGAGTAGGCCCTACATTTGTTATTTGTTAAGTAGTGCACCATACTAATTAAATATTGACTAGAAGAAAGATTATTTACTTAGATTAAATCTAATAGAATAAAAGTTAATTATTTACTACATACATTAACAAAAAAAAAATCAAATTCATCTAAATGAAATATAATTTATGAAAACTATATTACAATAATATTTAAAGTATGTGTATCATCCGGACTAGCTAAACATTAGTTATATATAAAACAAAGGAAAATTTGACATTTGGTACCAAGGAAAGTTCATTGCTTCACATTTGCTACCCCTTGAATTTTTTTTTTATTCTACTACCACTCAAACACATAAAACTGTTAAATTAAATACAATTTAACAGTTTCTGTTAATGAAACATTAGTGGGGCCCACACTCTTAACTACCTCCATCTAACTCCTTCTCTCTCCCCGTAACTCTATTCTGCCTTTCTCTCTCTTCTCCCATTAATTCTTCCCAATCTCCATAAATGACCAAGTTGAAGTCTTTTTTTTTCCCCTTTTTCTTTTTGAATCTTTCTTCCTCTCTCTTTCACTTGGTCAATCTACTTCTCTCTCTAACTTATCCTCAGATTTAGGGTTTTTGTGTGCGGGTAAGAAGGTGATTGAAGGAGGAGGTCCTACTGGAAGCAGCGTCAACTTCATTGCTGAAGTGGAAGCTTGAAGATTTTCCAGACACCATTTGACAGGTAAGAACCCCTTTTTGTACTTGTAGTGGTCCAATAAAGCATCAATTGTGGTCAATTTGCAATATTATACTGTGAATGTGGGCAATTTAGACAACATTATTGTTTTACTAAACCCTAGATTTATGTGTTTATATTTGTTAACTTATTCCCTAATTGTGCCATTAACTAATCATATGTGGGTATACAATAATGTGGTATTATGTGTTAGTTTATAATTGTTACTTTTTGTACTGTGTTGGGTGAATTAAAAATTAAATTGTTGTTTGTTGGACCTGCTTTAATTGTAGAAATATGGATGGTGAGGATGAGACTATTGACATTGAGCTGAGGTTATTTTGAGCATTTATGGAAAAGGAGCATAGGGGGAAGAATTATTTGGTTTATGAAGGTGGGTTTGTTCACAAGAAGTATGTAGCTCCAGTGTCATATGTGAGGAGTGTGACTTACTTAAGGTTTCTGTGTAATGAAGGGTTAATAGCTTTAGGGTTTAAGGAGGCTCCTGGGATTTATAGTTTGTGGTATAAGGAGAGGGGAAGGACTTGGGCAACTGGGAAGAAGAGGATTGATAATGATGATGATGTTAGGGGCTTCTTAGAGTCCAAACATAGTGAAGGACATGTGGAGCTGTTTCAAACTGTGGGGTCGGAAGAGTGGGGCAAGTATTACCCTCCTGAGGTTATTTTAGATAACCCAACCACATCCAACCCATCTGCAACTAGATCACATCCACCCCCTTCTAATCCAACTGACCAAAGTCCAAATGATAATGGATATAATCCATCAAATTCAAACCCATCCCACAGCAATCCCTCTCAAACACAAAATTGCTCTAAATTAAAAAGCCCAACAGAAACCAAAAAGACCCCAGATTTGAACATTGTGCCAATGTCTAGGAGTAGCCTAAGGTTGAGTAAGTGTACTAGCTTACCTAGAGTAAAATTGAAACCTAACAAAGCTAAAAAAACCTATTCAAGCTAGTTACAGGAGAAGCCCTAGGTTTGTCAAAGAATCTGGGGAGGAGGGGGTTGTGAGTGGTGTGAGTGAGAAGGGGAAGGGTGTTTCTGGTGAGGTGAATGAGCAGGAGAAGGGGAACAGGAAAAGTAAATCAGTGAGAAAGTGTAAAAAAAAAGGATATTCAAGGATGAGGATTGTGGATTAGAGTCAGGTTCATCTTCTTCTGAGTTAAGTGATTCAGACATTGATTGGAAGGCTGGTAAAGAAGATTTGGATGGCAGTGAAGAGGAACAGGAAGAGTGGCATATACAGACCAGAAGAGGTCTAGCAGGGGTGGTGGAGAAAAGCTTAAAGGTTGTTGATGTTGGTGAGCAGTCAGATCAGAAGTTGAATCAGCTAGTGAAGGACATTGGGTGTAAGAATCTTGAGCTGCATGAGGAGGACAGTGATTCAGATGAACTGAGGTCTCTACATGGGTCAGATGAGGATGAAGATTTAAGCCCCTGGTTCAGAGAAGACACTGACTTCAAAAAGCCTGTTGTTCTCCTAGACAAGCAAAAGTTCACAAGCAGTGATATGCTTAGGAAGGCACTCAGAACTCATGCTATAGAGAACAGGTATGAGTACTACTACCTACATAATGGAGGGAAAAGGATAACTACATTCTGTAGGAGGAGGTGCAATTGTGAATGGAATCCAAAGAGAAGCTAACTGCCTCTTTGCAAGTGTGGTGATGAGGTGAAGAAGTGTGAGTTTAAGGTGTCAGCAAGGAGGTTGTATGACAGTTCATCTTGGCAAATCAGAGAGCTAAGGTTAAAGTATAGGTGCATGAGAAGCAAGATGAATGCTTGTATGTTAGCTGAGTACTTGGCAGAGAGGTATGTAGAGGAGTGGAGAAGCAATCCTACATGGAAAATTAAGAGCTTCAGAGTAAGGGTGCTAAATGAGCTAGGGATACAGATTGGTTACTCTTTGGCTTGGCTAGCAAGAGCCAGAGCAAAATTGATGATTTATGGGTTAGCTTTAGAGCAATATTCAAGGGTTTGGGATTATGGAAAAGTTGTGCTTAAGTATAATCCAAATAGTGGGGTGTATGTGGTAGTTGAAGGTGTAGACAAACCAGAAACCCCTATTTTCTTGAGGATGTACATCTGTCTGGCAAATTTGAAGAATAGGTTTAATAAAGGTTGTAGGCATATCATAGGCCTTGATGGTTGTCATTTAAAGGGGGCCTACCCAGGTCAGATACTGGTTGTTGTAGGCAAGGATGGGAAAAATCAGATATTTCCCTTTGCTTGGGCAACAGTTGAGGTGGAAAACAAAGAAACCTGGGGCTGGTTTATTGAATGCTTGAGGAAGGATGTGGGTGATGTCAGTGGTGGCTTAGGGATCACTTTCATGAGTGACAGACAGAAGGTGATGTTATTTATACTCCACTCATGCATTACACCTTTTATTTTTCTTTTTTAACTTGTGCTTAGTTGATTGTGACCAACTGTTTTATTTGATTTTGTAGGGGCTCCTACAAGCCTTTGATGATCTTGTTCTATTAGCTAAGAAGAGATATTGTGTAAGGCATATTTGGGCTAACTTTAAGCTCCAATTCACTCGTTCTACTTTCAAGGAGCTTTTCTGGAATGCAGCCAGAACAACTACTTTGGTGAGTCTCTAGATCCTTTGGTAAACTCTTCCAATTATATCATGTTTTGTGTTGTTAGTCTAGTTGTGAACTGTTTTTGTTTGTTTATGTATTGTAGTTTGATTTTGAGGTTGCCATGGAGTCTATAAAGTTCTTATCAGAAGATGATTTTGAGTGCCTAGCAAATATTCCTGCCAAACACTGGTCAAGACATGCCTTTGATGATTTTTGCAAGTCCAATATGCTTTTGAACAATCTTTGTGAAACATTTAATGCTGTTATAAAAGATGCAAAGGATAAACCCATTCTCACTCAAATGGAGTGGTTAAGGAATTACATGATGAAGTGGAACTGTGAGAAATGGGAGGTAGTTCAAAAAGTAGATGGGAAGAACATGACATATGTGGGTAAGGTGTTTTGTAGGATAGAAAAGGCAGCAAGATATTGCATAGTCCAGATTTCAAGAGGGGGACAACTATGAGGTGAAATTGAATTAGGACCAAGTCAAAGTTGACCTAGGACTTAGGCAGTGCTCTTGTTACCACTGGCAGTTAACTGGGATCCCATGTGTACATAAATTTGCATGTATATTAGATAAAAGAGTGGACCTAGATGACTATGTGGATGCTTACTATAGTAGGGCCACCTATATTCTAGCCTATGAGGCTGCAACTAACCTTATGCCAGGACCCAAGCATTGGGATAGGGTGGACCTCAGACAACCAGTTCCCCCTCCAATTAGGGTTATGCCAGGCAGGCCAAAATCAAAGAAAAGGAAGCTTAAAAAGGGAGAGTGTGCATCTGGCAGCAAAGAGCCTCAACCAAAAGCACCTAAATTTCAGAACAGGTGCAGAAACTGTGGTCAGCTTGGTCATTATGCAAAGACCTGTGGGAATGAACTTAAGAGTGAAGCTACAACTTTTGAGCCAAAGTTATCAACCAAACCTGTCCTAAACACTCCTTGATTGCAAGAACAAAGGAGAAAAAAGGCACAAAGAGCTACACATAATGTAAGCTTGTGTTATAAGTCCTATCTTGTTTTGTCATGTTTATTTATGTCAAATATATGTATCTCAGTCTGTATTCTTATTGCCATACAGACTGCAGCTGGTGCAGGGCCATGGAGCATTGCAAATAGGTAATTCTCACAAGAGCAAAACCAGCAGCAACCACCTACTCTATCCACTCAGAAATCTCAAGAATTTATAACAACAGTAGCAGTACCAGTAAAGAAGGGAGCAAAGGGCAAGAGCAAAGTCGTTTAGTTCAATTATGTACCCTTTGTAGCTTATGTTTTAGTGAATGAACAATTTTAAGTATCAACTTCTGTCTGTAATGACTTATTATATTATTTCTGCTAGCCTTTGGAACAATTGCACAACTTTACATTACAATGATATGAAATTAAGTCAGTTGTCCCATAAATAAATGTTGCATTATTCATAGCCATAGTTGTTACAATATGAAGGAGTCCACTGTAGTTCAGTAGACTTAAGGTTACATAACCACAACTAACAGCAACAAACCTAAGCTTACTTTAGCACAACTAACCTTAGCTTACTTAGGCACAACTAAACCTAAGCTTACTTAAGGACAACTGTCCTATGCTTACTTCATTACAACTAACATCATCCCTAGCATCATCAAAACACAACAAATGACAACACCCACAGCTACACACTCAAACCATTTCTTGTTCTACTGCCCTTCTTTAGAGTACTTCTTCCTGTCACTATTGAGAGCTTTGCACTTTAGCTTCAGGTTGTCATTTTCAGTCAGGAGGCACCTTCTTTGTCCAGTAAGATCCTCCACTTCTCTTTGTAGTGAGCTTATCTCACCCTTCATGAGTTTTTTGTCAAGGATAAATTGGTTGATCACATCCCTTTGCTAATCAGTCCCATCATCTACATCCACCCACTCAAAGCTCTAGCATCCCCTTGTTTCAGTTTTGGGATCATAGAATTTACAACTCAAAAACTTCCTGCCTGGATTCTCTCTTGTCCATGAAGTTAGCCTAGCCATGGGAATACCACAGTCACACTTCTTGTATTTTGAGGGTGAGCACCTAACCAAAGCCATAATTCACTACATATTCACAGCATTAAGGATACATTAAAACATTAAATACTATAATTACCCACCAACACTTTCCATTTCATGATTAACACACCCAATTAAAACCCCCAATTTAACAATACTCTCAAGAACCCTAATTTATTTTCCAGAAATTAAGTATCAAATTACACCCACTACAATTCAATTAAAGCCAACACATCATTCCTATGTACTAAAAAAGTTTCTAATTAATCATATAAATGAAGATTACTAGCCTAAATTGTTCGATTAAACCAAATAACTAACATTTTTCCGCTGCACAATTTTTCCCTATTCAACCCAGCAATCACCCATAAACCACACTCACTGAATTTGCTTTTGATTGTTTGATTGAATTTGTGTTACAATTTGAAGAATTTGTGTTTTAATTTGCTCCAATTGATACCAGAACGATTGCAATGAAGGCAAAGCATGAAGAATCGTATTTAAATGGGAAGAAAAAGGAAGTAGTCGTTGGAGTGGACCCCACTTCACAGAAACACTAACGGAGTAACGCAAGTGGTAGTTAATTTAACAGTTTATGTGTTTGAGTGGTAGTAAAATAAAAAAAAATAAAAAAAAATCAAGAGGTAGCAAATGTGTAGCAAGGAACTTTCCCTGGCACCAAATGTCAAATTTTCCTAAAACACTAGAAAATATAATGAGAATGATGGAGCCATCAGCCATGTATCAACTTTTTGTGCACATTCTTGTAGGCTAACTTTTAGAATATTAGATTATTTAATGGCTTTCAAAGAGAAATCATTGAAAAATCAAATACTCCATGTAACGTATGTACTTTTGTAAAATTTTAGTAAAAGTTAAGTATAAAAGCAAGTAGGTTGAAACATTAAATCTTATGCGGAGTACGTACTAGTAATGCAACTAATTAAGGATTAGTTAGCACCAAAAAAAATTATGGATTAATTTTAAAACTTTTACACCAACATTCTCCACTGTTGCAGTTAGAAGTGTTAAAATCACACCCAATCTGATCTAATTCGAAATCAATCTGAAAAATATTCAATTCAGATTTTGACTCGTGTAGACACAATAATTTAACATGATTCAAGTTTAAAGTAAACCCGACCTAATCCAACCTAATCCGAACATCAAATTGATATCATTAACGGCAGTAGTGTTACCCTTTGTGGAAGTCTTGGCCGAGTCACAATCCTAGTGTGACACCTCTTTTAAAAAATGTTTATGTTAAAAATAATACCCCCAACACGTGGTTCAATCCTATAGTGACACATGGCCTAATAGCAGGAAGACACATGTCCCAATAAGAATATGACATGTGGCAAAAAATGAAAAGCACCTGAATGAGAAAAATTTCTCTTTATATCAGGAGGCCCAAATTTCGATAAAGTCACTAAAACAGCGCCCCCAAAGGACACTTGTCCTTACCTGACTGTGCCGCCAATCAGAGTACACCTTTCCAGGTCATCAAACCCTAGATGACAATATGACAAATATTCCCACCCTTATAAAGACTTCAATCATTTATAAATAGGAGGGGTGGATAGAGACATCTCATTCAAGAGTACTCCTTCCGTCCCTTAATACAAGGCCCCATTTTCTTTTTGGGTAATTCAAAATACAATGGCTCTTTCTATTTAAAGGTTGTATTTTTTTGACATTATTACCCTCTTTTTATAAGTTGTTATCTTCTTTCCTTTCCTATTTTGTACTTTTAACATCAATTCCCAATACTTTCTATCTCTATCTCTTCAATTATTCCTAATTGTTCTCTCTCTCTATATCTCTCGAACCCCACATGCACACATGTACTTGTACTCATTAGTTTTACAAAATTTACAACTTTCTTAATTCCCGCTCAAAAACCAAAAGAGGCTTTGTATTAAGGGACAAAGGGAGTATTAAATTGCTCAAAATTCTCTTTACTTTCTCTAAATTACTTTGTTTTCTTATCATTAATTTGATCGTCGAAGGCGAATTCCGTCAAACGAAATATTCGTTGTTTTGCAGGTTTTCGCGATCGTTCGACTATATTCAAGACCTGTTTTCAAAGGGATTCCAAAAAACCCGAAACACAATATACAATATTTATCTTCATAAATGATAATTTACACAAATACAACCTACATTCCCACTGTCACAAAATCACATATAACCCATCTTGCCACGAGGTAATGTGTTACCTACCTTTTTTAACATGAGTGGAACGCCTTAAATTGTACGAGTAAAATTTTTAGGATAAAGAAAAGTGAGAGACTGTAGATGGCAGGATGCTATGATTTGCATAAAATAATCTGCCTAGGATTGGGCATCTCTATTGCAATTATATACGACCCCGTTCTTTAGAGCTGCGCTGCTCTGCTCAAATAAAATCTGCTCTGCTCAAAAAAATCTGCTCAGCTTTATTTTCAAATAATAATTAATAATAACAATAATAATAATTAATATTGTATTGATGATAATAATTTATTATTTTGAATAATTATAATAATTATGAATATTAAAAATAATTTTAATATTTATTAAAATTAATAATAATTAATATTTATTAATCATAATAATAATAAATATCAATAATATAATATAATAATTTAAACTATTAAGAATTAATATTTAATAATATTATTAATTAATAATTTCTAATAATTATAACAATTCTTTCAAATATATAAATAATAATAATACCAATTAATAATAATTTCTTTTATAAACATTTGATATTTGAATCACAATGTGTAGAAACATTTTATGTGGGTATTGATTGTTAGTTCATTGAGTTGAATTATTTTTCAAATCTTTCCATACAATTTAAGAACTAAAAAAAGAGGTTATTTTCAAGTAGTACTTTGTATATCATTATTATTTTGAGGGTTAAAAATAAATTATTAAGACAAATTTATAAGTAATTATTATTCATTAAATCATTATTTTAAATTTGTTTGAAATAAATATAAAAAACCGTTGTCTTTTATCTTTTTACTATTAATATATGTTAAATACGATACACATTTAAAAATGTTTTCACTCACCTAAATCAATGGTATATGCACTTAATAATAGTAATAGTAATAGTAATAGTAATAGTAATAGTAATAGTAATAGTAATAGTAATGATAATGATAATGATAATGATAATGATAATAATAATAATAATAATAATAATAATAATAATAATAATGCTGAAATTTGCTCTACTCGGCTCAGCTCTGCTATCCTGAAATCTGCTCTGCTGAAATTTAATCTGCTCTGTTCTGCTCTGCTGACCCCTGCTCTTCTCTGCCCAGAATCTCAAAAGAACAAGGCTGAAATATACTTTCTTCATCTTTTAGTAAAACAGATCTAGTGGGACATTGTTTACGAGTTTTTTTTTTTTTTGGTACGAGTATTTGTTTTGTTATACTTTTTGAAACCTTAAAAACGATTAAGGTGGGCAATATTGGCTATTATTACGTTGAGCATCGTGTTGATCAATTTATTATAAATTGTCACCTTTTTAGCTTTTAGTTAAAGTGATTTATTGTTATTTCCTTTTTTTTTTCTTTCTCACTTGGTCAAATCTATATCTATATATCTATCTAGGATCTTGCTAACGAACGCCCCTAAGGCGTTGGTAAGCATTTAAAATATTGCCTAAAATGGTATTAATTTGGGAAAATATAACAAAAGCACGTGTCGATTGGTGTAATTAATGTTCATTTTAATTTAATCTTTCTACTTTTAGCTAGCTTATCTAACGCCCCTGGGGCGTTCGTTAGCTTTTTCCATCTATTTATATACCTATCTATCTTCTACGTAGTATACATTATACTAAAAAAAGGTACACTAGCTTCAAAACGGACAGACGTCTTTGTTTAAGTTTTTTAGCTTTTTTTTTGGTAGACTATATAAT